TTTTTATTTTATTGATTTTTAATTTTATTTCCTATTTATTTATTTATATTGTTTTTCCAAAAATATTAATTTATCTGTCTCACAGAGTCAGCAGTCTTTGAAGGGCTACTTCTTTTTTATTTTTAAATTTTTATTGAATTTATTGGGGTGACATTGGTTAACAAAATTATATAGGTTTCAGGTGTACAATTCTATATGATGTCATCTGTATATGGTATTGTGTGTTCACCACCCAAAAATTCAATGATAGAAGACATTTCAAATGAAGAATAATAATTCAAACTACCATTATCATATTTGCTAAATTTATTATTTTTTTGCAAGGAACCAGTTTTTGTTTTATTGTTAGCTCTATAGTTATTTCCGTATTCTAGTTCATTAAATATATTATTTAAAATCTGTCTCACAGAGTCAGCAGTCTTTGAAGGGCTACTTCTTTTTTATTTTTAAATTTTTATTGAATTTATTGGGGTGACATTGGTTAACAAAATTATATAGGTTTCAGGTGTACAATTCTATATGATGTCATCTGTATATGGTATTGTGTGTTCACCACCCAAAATCAAGTCTTCTGTCATCATTTGTCCCCCTTTACCTTCCTCTACCTCCTTCCTCCCCCTTTCCCTTATTGTTTGTGTCTATGAATTTACTTTTTTGCTTAATCCCTTCACTTTCTTCAACCAGTCCCCCCAACTCTCCTCCCCAATAGCTGTTAATTTGTTTTCTGCATCTATTTTGTTTGCTTATTTATTTTGTTCATTAGATTCCACATATAAGTGAAATCATATGGTATTTGTCTTTCTCTGACCAGCTTATTTAACTGAGCATAATACTCTCCAAATTCAACCATGCTGTCACAGACATCTTTTCGTATGTCTATTGTCCATCTGTACGTCCTTTTTGGAGAAGTGTCTATTCAGGTTCTTTGCTCATTTTTTAATTGGATTGTTTCTTTTTAAGTGTTGAGCCGTGTAAATTCTTTATAAATTTTAAATATTAACCCCTTATCAGATGTATTCTTGGTGAATATGTTCTCCCATTCAGTGGGTTGTCTTTTCATTTTGTTGATGATTTCCCTTGCTGGAGGACTATAGCTTTCACTCTGTTTATTTCCTACTGGGTTTGCCAATTTTTGCAAAATGAACTCAAATTTACCTGATTCCATCTGAGCAAATCCTGGGTTAAGGGTAAGGTCCTTCATTGCTTTTACGTCCCCATGGTGCACTAGGTTGTGATGAGCTGAGACTCTTGAAAAACAAATTTTCATTTTGACATAAACAGAAAAATGTATTAATAATAATCATAGCAAACAACAGTAATAGCACACACTTAAACCTCCAATCGATGAGAAGATAGACTTGTTGATATGTGTGCACAGAGTCAAGGCTTTCTTATTATGCCTTAGCTGACAGTGCACATTCCTTCCTCTGTCCCAAGCTCTCCTTCCTCTAAGTCTATAACACACTCAGGGGCCTGGTTTTATGTAGTCACTCAGTTTCAGATTTCTACCTCTCTGGGAGGTATGCTCATTTGCTGAATGGGTTGAATGCCCCTTGTCCTCGGAATCTACTGGCCCTTCAAAGTTGTGTCAAGGGCATCAGGAAACACAGCCCTGAGAAGTGTCTTCTTTACAAAGAGCCCCTCTTAGTGCCTGGCAGGCTCCTTTACAACAGGAACCTGGGAGGACTGCCGAACAGGCATGAGGACTTGAATACACAGAACTGATGACTTTTGAGAAGTCAAAACACCAATCACAAAGCAAGATCAAAGCAAGAGCAGTTCCTGCTCCCCACCAGGGAAAACCCAAACCTTTTGAGTTATTTGATAAGACTAAGTGCTTCAAAGAGTGAGTGTAAGTTTCGGGAAGGGCGGGAATCAAAGGTCATGTCAGGGACTTGGAAAAGGTGACTTCATCAGGCTTTGACGATAAGAACTGGACACCCCTGGAAACCCAGGCATGGAGGAGCACGGACCAGTAGGGTATCTGCCCCACTCATGGTCTCACTTCTCTGCTCACTATCTCAGCAGGTCCTTCTGTGTACCTGGAGACAAGGAGCTGAATCAAATGCTCTTAGAAAAGTAAGAACACTGAAAAAGTGTCAGATGTTCACACCAGCTGTAGAGAAATCAAGGGGGCTGCTCTGAGGACATGATGCAGGGGATTCAGTTGTTCCATTAATGTCTGGTGAGCCTTGACTCTGTTTCCAGAGACTCTTCTAGGTGGGGATACAACAGCTGAAGAACAGGACTTCTGTTCTAAGGAATCGCCTGGTCATTAAATACGCAACCAAATAAAGATTATGTTGCAGACAAAAATTAAAGGCAGAGAATTACAATTTTGATAGAGTGGCTACTTAAAGTTAAATGGTTAGGGAAAGCCCTTTCTCCAGAGATAATATTTAAGCTGAAATCTGAATGACAACAAAAAATTCTGCAAAGATAGAGGGAAGTGTCCTGGGCTGGCACAGCTAGTGCAAATGCCACATTCAGTTTTGAATGTAACATACCTACAAATACTTCTCCTTGTGCCTAGCCCTGTGACATGCCCAAGGAAGACATTTGATAAATGTTCTGAATGAGAAGGGTGGGAAGAGAGGAGTCAGTGTTGTCAGTAGACTAACCAGAAATGGAGGGTAAACTACAGATACAGGGGTGTGTGCCTGTGCATGTGTGCGTGTGAGTGCACATGTGAGCATGTATCTGGTAGAATATCTATACTTGTCTCTTCTATTAAAAATGTCTGTAGGAAAATAGACTGAGAAGCTGTGATTCTAGAGGGTCAGTTGCCGAGCTATAGAGATGGATGCATGGGAGGGGCCAGCAGAAGGAGGAGTTTAGGGTATTAAAGTAGAGAGCTGCCCAGTGCGGCTGAAGGGCCCACCATCAGCCCTGGAGAGCTGCCCAGCATACAGGAGTTCTAATAATGGTTGTTTATTAACTTGGGGTGAAAGCCAGTCCAGCACTGTCCCGGTCACCAGGCTAATTGGGCCTGACATTGCCGAGGCATCTGCCAGAGGCCTGGGCTGAAGGACAGCTTCCCTGCCACAGCCTTCGTGCTCTGAGGAGGCCCTAGTAAGTCGTTTCTGGAGGAAGGAGGTGGAGTCCTGGGCCAAGAGTCTGGCCACTTGACTTGATCCTCGTAAGGTCCAGACAGGGGTGTTGGTGGGGTTGTCAGGCCCACTCAGGGCCTCTGTCTCTCTCTGCCTTGTGGCGCTTATGTTCTTCTTGGATCCACTTGACTATCTGCAAACAAAAGGGTGGTCTTTTCAGTCAAAGGGAAGAATGGAAGTGGGGTATGTTTAAACCTGACCTTGGCCTTTGGTATAATCAGGGAAAGGGGGAAAGAAGATAGAAAAAGGAAAGGTGGAGAAAATGCGATAAAGTTTCCTTCCAACTCACTACTTCTCACTGCATCCTGGAGGGAGGGAATGGCTCAGGGAGCCTCAGGGTAGGCAAGGGCAGATGGTAGTTATGGACCAGCAACATTGGGATTAGCGGCCAGAGAGGAGCAGAGGGAGAGGCCCATGGGGCTGGGCTGTGAAGACTTCCTGGAACAGAGACCAGCTTGAGCAAAGGCTGGAGGGGACTCTGACAGCAGGTTGGGGATACAGAGCTTGGGGGCCACTGGGTAGAATGCAAAGAAGCCTTCCAGGAGAAGAAGAATGAGCTGAAATCCTGCCAGGCCCAGTATGAACAGAAATTTTAGGAGCCTGGATTCTGGCTGGCAAAAAAATAAATAAATAAATGCCTCACAGTAGAAAACTTCAAACCAAGGGAAGAAAACATATTTAAGTCTTATGTGGCCAGGATCAATGATCAAAGAAGGTTCCTTGGGAGGGCCAGAGCCCTGCCTCAGGGCACCCTGGGTCCTGAGCACCAGCAAGGGCCTGTCATAAAGTAAAAACTGTAGATGAAATGATTGACAGACTTCGGGAAACAACTGTGATTCTGAGGTTAGGTGAACCCCGAAGTGTAAAAGGGATTGTTATGTGAAATGAGAGAATGGACGTCAGACACTAGTTTCTGCCAAGAAATGGGCCTTGTGGAAGCTCGGATCTCCTGCTACAGTTTGAGTCTAGCTCTCAGACCCATAGGAAGGGGAAGAAGAGAGAATCTGAAACCCTCTTGGTCCTCAAAGACTGGGGTTGAGAGAGGAGCCAAGGCTCACACAGGCAGTGAGCTTGCCTTTGCATCAGGCCACCAGGAGCAGAGTTGGGTCATTTCCAGACCCCGCAGGCTCTCATGCATAGGTCCTGCTCACCCCCTAAGCCTTGTACCCACAGGGGCACTGGAGGCCCAGGGAGAATGGGCTTCTACCAAGTTCTCTTGCATCTACCTTGGCTTCAGCACTGATCGAATTCTAACTTCCTTGTCTGTCTCCTTAGCAGCCTGGGAGAAACTCAGAGTCAAAGCTGGTGTGTCTGTGTCCCGAGCACAGGGGCCAGCACACCAGAGGTGGTAGCGGATGTTGGCTACACGGGATGAGATGCAATTCTTTCCCTCACTCCCTCCACTACCAGGTGAGGACCATGATGTGGTTTGTATCACTTCCCACCCTTCTGTGTGTGGTGACAGTGTCCTTCTCAGAACCCACAACCTGTGAAGATGCCCAGAAGGCCTGTTCAGTGATTGCCTGTGGCATCCCGGTCACCAATGGCACCCCAGGCAGAGATGGGCGAGACGGAGCCAAAGGAGAAAAAGGAGAACCAGGTACCCAGGCTGGTCTGACTTCTTGAATCTTTACTCCCCAGAGGGATCTGGGACAGAGCCATGAGCAGGCTCCCCATACATTATGATGGGCATGAATCTCTCAGGATAATTCCTGTGCATTGTCATTTTCTCCTAAACAAAGACACTGCTCTGAACTCACTCCCACCTTTCCACGCAGGAAGCAGTGGTATGTGGTTGTCCCTAAGAGGCAATATTCTGCAGCCTGGGCAGTTGGCGCTGGAGGCAGAAGGTCTTTCTTTCTCAGGTCACCACTAGTTTGCTGTGGTTTCTGGAGTCAATGTGAATCTAGTGCTGAGCTTTTGGAGGAAGAGAATGAGAGACAGACACTGACATTTCAAATTAAATTTAGACTTAAAACAGTATTCTATAGTTTTCTCCTCTCATAGAACCTTTATATTTCTAATGAGAACTCAGCTTCAATTAAAAAAAAAGCCAGTAGAAATATTATATTATTTACACCCCTCGTGGCCCCTGCTGATGGACCAACTCCCTCAGCTGGAGCTCCAATGCCAGGCTCCAGGATGTGCGGGAGGAAACCAGTCCCCTCTGGGGTTGGGTTTAAGTCTGTTGTCACAAGAGTGGCAGGAAGATGGTCTGCTTCACAAGATCCCTGGTGCAATAAAGTAATGAATAGAGTAACTAAACAAATTCATCCAAAGTGAAATAAAGTAATTAGTACCAACAAAACAATAGTGATGACCTCACATAAATATTTGCCTGCCGGCCCATCATGATTATAAAAATATTAAAAAGCTCGCCTGGAATTAGAAATGAAAGCATGATTAAGAAAATTTTTCAAAAAGGAGAATGAGTTCAGTCTTTTCTTATAAATGAGTGTAATATTACAGTATTTAAGTAGTATGTGAAGAAAAAAATCCAGAGCTATAGTTTGCAAGTTACCATTACTGCTATTATTATTACTGGTTTCAGAGTTACAGTTTATAAGAGTCATGAATTATGTCTGAGAAGGCAGGAATTCAGTTATGTTTTGTTGTTTTCCTTCCTTATTTTTCTGGAATAAGCATAATTCTTAATAAGCTTTTTTCCCCCAAAAAATACGTCTGTTCTTTTTTTTTAAATTAAATCTTTATTGTTCAGATTATTACATTTGTTCCTCTTTTTTCCCCCCATAACTCCCCTCCTCCCAGTTCCCGCCCCACCATCCGCCCTCACTCCCCACCCACTGTCCTCATCCATAGGTGCACGATTTTTGTCCAGTTTCTTCCCGCATCTCCCACACCCCTTTCCCCCCCAAGAATAGTCAGTCCATTCCCTTTCTGTGTCCCTGATTCTATTATGATCACCAGGTTATTTATTCACTTGATTCTTAGATTCACTTGTTGATAGATGCATGTTTGTTGTTCATAATTTGTATCTTTACCTTTTTCTTCTTCTTCCTCTTCTTAAAGGATACCTTTCAGCATTTCATATAATACCGGTTTGGTGGTGATGAATTCCTTTAGCTTTTCCTTATCTGTGAAGCTCTTTATCTGCCCTTCAATTCTGAATGATAGCTTTGCTGGTTAAGTAATCTTGGTTGTAGGTTCTTGGCATTCATCACTTTGAATATCTCTTGCCACTCCCTTCTGGCCTGCAGAGTTTCTGTTGAGAAATCATC